TTTTTTTTTCAGATGGAGTCTTGCTCTGTCGCCCAGACTGGAATGCAGTGGCGCAATCTCGGCTCACTGCAACCTCCGCCTTCCGGGTTCAAGAAATTCCCCCGCCTTAGCCTTCTGAGTAGCTGGGATTACAGGTGTGTGCCTCCACGCCTGGCTAATTTTTATATTTTTACTAAAGACGGGGTTTCACCAGTTTGGCCAGGCTGGTCTCAAACTCCAGCCTGGCCAAAGTGATCCACCCACCTCAGCCTCCCAAAGTGTTGGGATTACATGTGTGAGTCACCCTGCCTGTTGTTTAGACATACACTTTTTTTTTAGACAAAGTCTCGCTCTGTCACCCAGGATGGAGTGCAGTAGCCTGTGACCTTGGCTTACTGTAACCTCCACCTCCCCAGTTCAAGCGACTTCTGCCTCAGCCTCACAAATAGCTGGGATCACAGGTGCCCACCACGACGTGATGGGTGACTATTTTTTGTATTTTTAGTAGAGACAAGGTTTCACCATGTTGGCCAGGCTCGTCTCGAACTTCTGACTTTGTGATCCACCCACCTCGGCCTCCCAAAGCGTTAGGATTACAGACGTGAGCCAACGCATCTGGCCTTAAATTTTATTTTGTTTTTTTGTAGAGACGGGCTCTCGCTGTGTTGCCCAGGCTAGTCTTGAACTCCTGACCTCAAGTAGTCTTCCCACCTTGGTCTCCCAAAGGGCTGGGATGACAGGGGTGAGCCACTGCACCCCAATCTTCCCTCTACTTCTTGATGGTTTTCTTCTGCTATGGATGTGCATGTCCAGTTCTCTGCTTCTTAGAACAGATATTTACTTTACTAATCCACTGGGCATTGGAGGAGGACTGGGATCATGGAGAAGATGACCTGACCCGTTCTGGGAGGGTTTCCTGCTGGCTGTCTTCCATCACCATAACTGGAATCAGATGAGTTTCTGTAGCCTTTTTATTTTTTTTTTCCTCCACGTCTTTGCTGAAGCAGAGTTTTGAAAAACAAAACCACAAACTCAGCTATTCCCCAGAAGACGTCTGTAATGAAAGATAAGCTCTGCTGGCACAGTGGCTCACGCCTGTAATCTCAGCGCTTTGGGAGGCTGAGGCGGGCAGATCACCTGAGGTCAGGGGTTCCAGACCAGTCAGGCCAACATGGTAAAACCTCCTGTCTACTAAAAATACAAAAATTAGCTGGGTGTAGTGGCAGGTACCTGTAATCTCAGCTACTTGGGAGGCTGAGGCAGGAGAATTGCTTGAACCTGGGAAGTGGAAGTCGCAGTGAGCTGAGATTGCACCACTGCACTCCAGCCGGGGCGACAGAACAAGATTCCATCTCAAAATAATAATAATAATAATAATTAAAATAAAAAGTAAAATAAAAATGCAAAAGTTAGCCAGGTATGGTGGTAGGTGCTTCTAATCCCAGCTCCTTGGGAGACTGAGGCAGAAGAATCTCTTGAACCTGGGAAACAGAGGTTGCAGTGAGCTGAGATCGAGCCTCTGCTCTCCATCCTGGGCAACAGAGTGAGACTTCTTCTCAAAAAATTTAAAAAAAAATAAGGAGGTTGAGGCAGGAGAATCACCTGAACCTGGGAGGAGGAGTTGCAGTGAGCCAAGATCGTGTTGCTGCACTCCAGTCTGGGTGACAGGAGCGAGACTCAGTCTCAAAAAGAATAAATAAATTAAATAAACAGGCCAGACACAGTGGCTCATACCTGTAATTCCAGCACTTTGGGAGGCCGAGGCAGGCGGATCACTTGAGGTCAGGAGTTCCAGAGCAGCCTGACCAACATGGTGAAACCCCATCTCTACTAAAAATACCAAAATTAACCCGGACTGGTGGCGCATACCTGTAATCCCAGCTACTGGGGAGGCTGAGGTAGGAAAATTGCTTAAACCCAGGAGGCAGATGTTTCATTCAGCCAAGATCATGCCACTGCACTCTAGCCTGAGTGACAGAGCAAGACTCTGTCTCAAAAAAATAAAAAAGAAATTCACCAGGTGATGAGTTCAGGAATTCTAACATTAAGGCAGTGTGGTCCAGGATGGAGTAGTGGGTGCATTCATAGAAGAAAGCTCAGGCCACAAGAAAAGAGGGGCCAGGCTTGTTGGGGATGAAGGGAAGAACATTCCAAGCTAAGGGAACTGCAAGCTGGTTGCACAGGATACCATGGGATGGAGTTTGTTGGCTTCTGCCCCAGATTGGCAACCTCTGGTCTGAGGCCATTCTTTGGCCTGCCTGAGACTGCCTGGCACCTCGGAGGAAGCCATGCCCTTCCCTTTTCCTTGAGAAAATGACTAAAGGAGTGGAGGACTGGGAGCGGCCTCCTCCCTCTGCCAGCCTGCCCCTCCATCTCCACCTCAGAAAGTGGCCCTCCGGCCGCAAGTGGTGGCTCACGCCTGTAATCCCAGCATTTTGGGAGGCCAAGGCAGGCAGATCACAAGGTCAGGAGTCGAGACCAGCCTGACCAACATGGTGAAACCCCATCTCTACCAAAAATACAAAACATTAACTGGGTGTGGTGATGCACGCCTGTAATCCCAGCTACTCAGGAGGCTGAGGCAGGATAATCATTTGAACCCAGGAGGCAGAACTTGCAGTGAGCCGAGTTCGAACCACTGCCCTCCAGCCTGAGTGACAAAGTGAGACTCTGTCAAAAAAA